AGAGTTAGTTTTATTAATAAAAGAGTATAAGTGGGTTTTATAAGCTTTAAAGATGAGCAAGAAAGGTCCCCAGTTTCGTTTTAATCCGATTTCATTATGATCTGCCACAAATATTTATACATTTACATTCATACTAACAGATCTTGAATGAGTGCTAATACCTTTTTCAGTTAAATTATAATCAGATGAGCTTTATAATATCACGGTTATTTTACTCCATCAAACATGGTAAATGGAGTACAACCTCTTGAATATCTAATTACATCCACACGTGAAAACATGAATAACGGATAATTAGTTAGATATCACACTGTAAAAACGCGTATATATATGCTTGTGTTTTATCATGTAAAAATTTACCCACTCCTTCAATAAATAAATTTATTAAAATCCTCTTAAAACTTAAACATTACGTTGTCGCTTTTACACTATGTCTGCAACTCAATTCTTTGAACAACAAGATGGGACAAAAATTGCATACAAAATTCTCAAGTCTGAAAATGCTAAAAGTGAGGTTCCTCTTGTATTAATCGCGGGAATGTAATATTGCCATTTGATATTATTTTGTATTTGATATTTCTTTTCATTCTATAATAATTAAATCGTAATCTGTAACTTAAATTTAGGGGTCTACTTAAAGAGTTTTATTATGGCTTTGAAGAAGGTTAGAAATTTATTATCATTATTAATATTGTTATTCAGTACGTATATTCATTATAATATGTGATTGATTGAATTATTTTTAATCATCAGAATTGGTAAAAAAACAACAAGGTTCGTTAATATTGTCGAAAATACTGTATGCTAGTTATTTATATACCCTGTATACTCAATTGCATTGATCATAATAATTAATGACGTCCTTAAAACTATTGCTGAAATCGAAAATCGTAAAGCGTAAACTTTAATATTGTACTATACTGTACCTTATTATGACTTACAGCCACCCACAGGAGTAGTATACTGATTTTTCTATATTTTAAGTAAAGAAAACGGGAACTAATTTTGCAGATGATTATAGATGCTGGTGAAATATGGTGAAATGTGGTGAAATAATTTCACGACTATTAGTGAAATTGGTGGTGAATTGGTGAAATTGGTGAAATTAATTTCACCAGCATCTATACAGATGATTGTACATGTCTGTAATAAGTTTTCAGATATCTTATGGTTATCATGTGTGGTGGTTAGAATTAACACGCATAGGTCGAATGAAGGCAAATCGGGCTCCAAGTAATCCCGATATGAACCTGATTTGAAACAGATATTTAGATACAAATCGGCTTCATATAGGCGTTCAATACATATCGGAATGCCGATAACTCAATTGGTAAACTTGTCTTATTGTTTATCGATTTACCTAGAGCTAGATATGTATTGAACGCCTATATGAACCCGAATTGTATCCTAAAGGTCTACTATTTCGGCCAAATTTGCTTCTATTTGACCTGTGATAGTTGCAGAATATTGTGCACGATCAATATTATATCAGGTTTACAGTTTAATGTTTTACGATTTTATAGATTTTGCATGCTGCAGATAGTTTATTGTACTAAATACATAACAACATAGAATGTTTATAACTTATTAATTATGATAAGAAACATAAAATATTCAAATCAAAATCATTTTATTAGTAATTGTGTTTGATAATCGTGGAATGGGAGAATCAACCGTTGCTTCTTATAATGATCCTATCACGATCGAATTAATGGCTCAAGATACAATTGCATTGATTAAGCATCTTGGAATTAAAAGATTTGGTTTGTTTGGAACAAATATGGGTGGTAAGATTCAAAATTTTAATTATTTAATATCTTTCAATGAATTTTACTTTTAATAAATAAAAATTTTATAGCTAGAATTGCTCTTACTGTTGCCTTGAACCTTCCATCTGATTATAAGTTGGAGAAATTAGTTGTTAATTCTTGGTATATATATATTTTGATTAATTTAAAGTATAATCTATATTTAAGTTAACTTATCCTTTTTTGTTGAAGTGCTCCTCGAATTGACATCACTACACCTACGTTTCAGAGAATTGAAAAACTTTATCAATCGTCAGGCAATCCTCTTCCCAATAATATTCAGGACGAAAAAGATAGACTTCTTAAAAATGAATTTGATAAAGATTTTGCTAAATACCTGCTTGAACATCCCGATGTACTTGATAAAATTGCAGAGACCGTTGTTAACAAATTCGATAGCAGACCACTTGAAATGATGAGTATGTATACTTACATATGTTTTTAAATTTATCAATATTAACGCTTTATCTAATTTTACTATATTTGTAGAGCGTCAGTGGGAGGCGATTAAAACTTGTGACCTGTTTCCAAGACTAAAAGAAATTAAAGTTCCAACTTTGGTAATTCATGCAGAAAATGATACATTATTTTCCATTAAGGATGCTGAATTACTTAAACAAGAACTTCCTAATTCAAAACTTTATAATATTCCTAACATGGGAAATAAGTAAATATTATTTTAAAAAATTTTGTTTGTAAATAATATTGCAATATATTCTAACTTTTTTAATAATTTTTAGTATTTTTGTAATGGAACGTGAAACTACTGCCAATGTCATTAGTGAATTTTTGAATAATTAAATTTTAAATAGCAATATCTCCTCATCATTTGCGGATGTAAGAAAAAAATATATTGCTAGTTGAATAAGTAAAAAAATTTATAATGATTATACACTTGATACAAATCTTTGTGATACATATCATAAAAAATTGTGACCTTTATTGTCAACCTTGATGAATTAAATAAATGAACATACATAAAACAATCTCTACTCATAAAGACTGATAATTTTGATCAATCAAATTTCAAGACCAGATGAACAAACAAAACCATTTTTACAAAAAACAGAATAGCTCAAAATTTTATTTAAGAAATCATCTCAAAGGCCTAATTAAAATGTTTCATATGAAGCTTATTTATAGCGCCAAGGTATTTAACACTAACAACGCTGGTTTATTGTCTATATGCAACTTAGAAAGTTTGGTTTACTATCGTTACATATGGGCTGCCATCAATAGAAATAAGGCAGATTGACATTTTAAAAAAAATCAATACCCTAGCTTTCACAGCTCGTTTCTCGATGAATTTTAAGCCTATCTTGATTATTTAATAGTCAAAAGAAAGCTTACGATATAAGCTTTCTTCTGAATATTAAATCATCAAGATAGCTTCAGAATTCATTGAGATACGAACTGTGAAAGTTAAGGTATTAATTTTTTTTTAAAATGTCAATCTGCCTTATTTCTATTGA